CTGAGCTAGACCTATCTATTGGCTTAACATTCTGGTCATAGAAACAGTCTAGAATCTCATTTTATTTTTCGAGGCTAATGCACGGGTTCTCCAATCAAAAGGGTTACTATAAAGGGATTGGTTTGAATGCATTTATCTGCAAATGTTGTAGGATTCTGTTGTTGAGAAGGGGGTATATTATTATTATTATTGATGATGATGATGATTGTGGCAGATTCGTTTTCTACATGGAAGTCTAATCTCCTCCGAAGACCTTTTCTGGGGATCGTCGATAGATGGTTTTTCAATAGGAATCGTTTCCCTCGGATCCTCAAGAGATAGAGGGGGGGTCCTGTCTTGAGACATGGAGCGGTCTCTCTCCTCCTCCTCCTCCTCGAGAAGTCTTGAGAAAGGGAGAGGATTTTCGGTTCCCTTATTCTTGAGGGGTCTTGACAAATTGAGAGGTCCCTCCTCTTCGAAAGAGAGAGAAGTTTTGGTTCCCTTATCCTCGAGGGGTTTTGACAAATCGAGAGGTCCCTCATTTTCGAGGGGTCTTGATAAATGGAGAGGTTTTTCATCTTCGAGGGGGTTTGATAAAGGAAGAGGTCCCTCCTTCTCGAGGGGTCTTGATAAATGGAGAGGTTTTTCATCTTCGAGGAGGTTTGACAATGGGAGAGATTTCTCCTTCTCGAGGGGTCTCTCTTCCTCAAGGGGTTTTGAGGAAGGGAGAGGTTTTTCATCCTCGACGGGTTTTGACAAACGGAGAGGAATCTGAACAGGCTTCTCCTCATCCCCATCATTATCGAGGAGGATGAGGATAGGCTTTTGGAAAGGTTTTTTCTTTTTCTTCTGAACAGGCTCCTCTTGATGCTCGGGGAGAGGGATGGGGTAGTTGTTCCACCATTCTATTTTTTCTTGCTCGAGGATTTTTTCAAAAGTCGTAGCCTCTCTAAGATGAGACGAACGAGGAGGAGAGTCCTCGAGAAGAATATAATAGGTATTCTTCCCAGTCTTCTCGATCGAGAGAGGTTCGTGCAAACATTTGTGCAACCATTCACTAAAATGAACGAGAATCCCTTTTGTCTTCTCAAGACGATCCATAATCCTATTCATTTGCGAGACGGTTAGAAAGTGGGACGTGTAAAAATATTTGGCTCGTTTCATTAACAAAATTTGTGCATCCAAAGGTGGAATGTCACGAGCCATCAACACGTTTTCGTCGGACAAAAATTCGTCCCGCATCTTTTGATAACTCCCCACGGTATAATAACCCGCACATTTTGAAAAATCGGAGGCTTTCAGGTAAACGACTCCTTGGATGATATAAAAGGAAAGATCAACATATTTATATTTGAAAGGAATACACGTAGTGAGCTGGGGATGCCTCCTCATGATCCACTTGGACAAAAATACGACTTTGGGGCTCTCCCCTTTTATTTATAGAGAGAAAGAGAGTGTGACCTTCCCTTCCCTCCTCCTCCTCTCTCCCTGCTTCCTCTATCTCTGGACGTCCTTGGATTGGAAAGGGTTGACTTTGAAAAAAAAAAGAAGGTCATGGTTGGATAATTTTTTTGTTATTAAATTATTACTTTCACTTCCTCATTCCCACACACATTCATCTTTTTAAGAAAAGAAAAAGAGGTCATGGAGATAAGATTTCTTGGAAAGAAGAGAGAGAGAGAGAAACAAAAAAAAAACAAATAAAACGGACGTCATAGAGCCTCTATGTGTGTCTGTGTGTGTCTATATAGATATATAAAAAGACGAGAGTACTGGGCGAGATCATTTCTTTTCCATTGGGAGCCATGTCGCTATTAGACGTTTTTCCAACTCAACGGATTTCGAACGGGGAGGATTTGAAGACGCTAAAGCAAATCTCCAACTTGAAAATTTTTTTGGCGTGTCATTGTGCGACATTTATTCCGCATTTACCACCTCATCAAGCGATCGTTTCTTTCAACCAAGATGTCGAATCCTCCAACCTGCTCGTTCAGAATATATACAGAAATTTATTCGAATCGCAACAAACGAAAGAGGAATCTCCCTTCTCTTGGAATCGGATGGATCGAGCTTTGAGACGGCCCATTCAAACAGACCGGCGATATACAGATCCGCGCACGAGTTTTCGGTGGAAGAATATTTTTCTCACGAAACGATATTTTACGTTTGGAGTGAGAACGACGGCTGAGGACGAAGTTCATATTGTTCAAACCACAGCCGCTCCTCTCGCCTATTACGAATCATCGTCCCCCAATCTGAAGGAAAGAAGTTTTAAAGTCAGCGACAGGATGAAATATAAGAAATATATTCTAAGACCTTTTCAAAACTATGTCGTTCCCCCGAAAACGCAATATCTCATCGTCACAACCCAGAAGAGTCTCTTTCTCGTCGATCGGTGCTCGTACTCGCTTTGGAAACAATTGAAAGAGGAGATTTCTTTCCAATCGCCGATGATGTTTCAAGAAAAAGAAGAAGAAAACCCTCCGCCACCTTTACCCATCCCTTCCTTAGATGATAAGAGGAGCTGGACCAAACCGTTCATTTGGCCCGAAACAAAATCGACCCGGCAACGGAATGAAATTGAAGTCATCACAATTGAAGATGAGGAGGAAGAAAAAAAATTACCTCTTAAAAAACGGTCGACTTACCGGAACCTACCTGGCGTGCAAGATCCGCTTCAGAATCCAGAAGAAGCTTCTTCTTCTTCTTCCCCGACTTGTTCAAACAGGCAACCTCTTTCGGACTCCTCACAGACAGAACCTCTTCCAGTATCCTCTTCTTCTTCTTCTCTCCTCCAACCTGTCCCGACATCGTAGAGGTAGAATGTCAGACGGGTCCACAAGCTTCAAAAAGTCCCGACATCGTAGAGGTAGAATGTCAGCCGGGTCCACAAGTTCCAACAGGTCCAGAAATCATGGAGGCAGAATCACAGCCGGGTTCACAAGTTCCAACGGGTCCAGAAATCATGGAGGTAGAATTTCAGCCGGGTAAACAAGTTCCAACGGGTCCAGAAATCATGGAGGTAGAATCGCAGCCGGGTCCAGACATCCTAGATCCCTCCACTCATCCCAAAGAGACTCCAAGTGTTTCAAGACAGCCTTGTGAGGATCCAGCCCTTCCCGTATGGAATGATTATATGGACTTACAAAATTTGGTGCAACAGGAAGGAAGGAGAAGAAAATAATCATACGGATGGGTGGGTCAAAGACTGTTTAGATCATTTAACCTCGAATGAAATTGAACTGTTATGGAATTGCATTTCTGAAATCACATCGGAAATGGGATAAAAACCAAAAAAAAAAAAACAATTTTTTTAATAACAAATTGGAGGAGGGTCATGATGTCAATTAAAAAAAAATATTATATAGAGTCCAATCTTGGTGGTTCACTTCAGTTTTCCAGCATGAGGTGATCCACGTTTCCCGAAATATGGATCCCATTCCAAGAGAGATTGTGTAGAGCCTTCACTTCAGTTCTTTTTTTTCTACCAAGAGGAGAGGGTCCCCAAAGGGCTACCCATGTCCAAAGAGAGAAAGTGTAGAGCGTTCATTTCAGTTTTTTTTTCCAAGTTTAGGGGAGGGAGGTCTCAAAATGACACCCCCCCCCATTTTCAAAGAGAGATGGTGTAGAGCGTTCATTTCTGTTTTTTTCCAAAGTTAGGGAGTTTTCAAATGGCTACCCATTTCAGAGAAAGAGAGAGAGAGAAGGTGTAGAGCGTTCATTTCAGTTTTCCAACATTAGAAGGTCCCAAAATACCTTCTGAATTCAAAGAGAGATCGTGTAGAGCGTTCATTTCCAGTTCTCCAAGATCAGAAGAAGAGGGTCCGCTTTTCCCAAAAGGGCTTTCCGCATTCAGAGACAGCGAAATGCAGACTTCAGTTTTTCTCCCTCCCCAAGAATAGAGGGTCCCAAAATGGCTTCCCATTTCAAAGAGAGAGGGAGAGGCGTTCATTTCCATTCTCCAAGATAGGGTCGTCTGCTTTTTCCCAAAATGGCTTCCCAATTCAAAGAGAGAGAGAGTGAAAGGGTGTGTAGAGCGGTCATGTTCATTCTCCAAGATAGGGTCGTCAGCTTTTTCTCAAAATGGCATCTCCCCATTCAAAAAGAGATCGTAACCAATTTTTTCCAGTTTTTTTCCAAGATGGGGGGGGAGAAGAAAACCTAGGATGGAATAACACGACACACAGAGAGAAGAGAAAAAAAAAAACGCCATCTTGTCATTTTCTGATAGGGTACCGGTGTTCGAATACTTTTGTGACCGACTGTACGCGACGGTAGAACTGTTCCGAGCTCTGTGTTGATCTCTGCAATTTTTTTAGTATTATATTTTTGTTATAGGAGATTGTCTACTCTTATTTTCTTTAATATCATGCATTAACACACGACCACCAAACTTTCCTTGTGATTGTCTTTTCTTGGTCAGATGCCGGATTTTCATCTCCAGAGCAATAATTTCAGGACTCAGGTGATGTTTCTCTCGTATTTCCATTACTCGATGTTGGATGAATGGCTTCCATTTATTTAAATCGCCCTTTATCCAATGTAATGTAACAGAAGAGTGTGACGAAAAATATACATTCATCTGGACTCTTTTCTCTAACTGTTCTTTCACATTCGAGGCTAATCTTTCTCCAATGAGCGCCCCCATCAGCTCTAATCTTGGAAGGGACAGCTTCTTCAGTGGAGCTACTCTGGTTTTGGAAATGACAAAACTACTTCCTATTTCACTGTCCGTCGTGACGTATCGCAGGTATATCACAGCTCCATATGCCTTTGTAGTGGCTCAGTTATTGCATGAGAAATAATTATTTTTTATTTCATATATTTGTTCATGTGTTTAATTATTTTATAAAATTAACTTTAATATTTTGTTAATATTCATATTTATATTTCTTTTATGCTGAATGGCAATAAGTAGTTCATATTTATGTTTAAATTTCTTTATGCTGAATGGCAACTAGTTCTAGTTCTGATTCGTGATTGCTAGGGTTTGGTTACAAAACGTTGCTCGTAGCGTCGCATTTCGATAGCCGAAAAATAAAATGCAATAACTTAGCTATTTGTTTATAATTCATGCTGTTCCTAGTCATAAATTAATTTTAAACATTAGTAGCCAAGGCTACACCTTCTGACTTGCGTCGGTAAAGCAATGCATTTGAATATCTCTCAATTCAGACTTGTTAGTCTTTCGGAAGTAATGTATGGTAGATTAAATTAGGTTTATTTTCTGTATATTTCACACAAACAAACTGCTTTAGTTTTAATGATTTTAGGATAAATTAAAGTTCTAAGAGTTAATTAAAAGTTCTAAGAGTGATTAATACATTGAAAAAATGAAAATGAGATTTCTTAGTTCATTCTAATAAGTTATTTTACAGTGAAGTAAATTTTAATCTCTTAAACATATGTAAAATAAAACAGGTATTACAGGCTAAGTTAGTAACTGTTGTGCACTTTAAATTCAAATTGTAAAAATGTAGAATTTTGTGACAAATCTATCCACTTTCAAAATTACTGATGTTTGATCTTTTTCAAACAACATAAGAAATTACATAGGAAATAGAGAGACTTATAATAATGGAAATGGTTAATAATAATATAATAATGGAAATGGTTTCAAATTTAATTCTTTTAAAAAGGTAAGAGAAAAGTAAAAATGTTAGCACTTCATTTAAATGTCAGACGTATTTCAAAATCTGTTGAATTCAATGTATTAATGGTGAAATATTTTGAAATTAAATTAATTCCCTTAAGCTTATAGAGAAGTGATTCATGACAATACCCTAAGGTAATAAAGAAATGCTTTCATGTTTGTTATTATTTGACTTTATAAAAATATAGCTTTTAGCAAGAGAAGATGTATCCTTGTTCAATATTCTTACCAAATGGGTACTCGCAAACAACAAAACTAAGGTATTTAAGAAACGCACAGACTTATAATAATGGAAAGGTCTTCAAGTCTAATTTACATTAAACTACGGAAGGCTTATGAAATAAATCTTTTAACTTCCAAAAACATTTCAAACTTTGGTTGATCAGTTCCATAAAATTTAAATGTTGCTCAAATTAAATTTAATTTAATTAACATTGTATGTTTAGATACAAAATTAGCTAGTTGTTATACCTAACGTAATAAAAACTTTTTTATACTAAATTGAAATTACGAAATTAGAGTTTATCAAGGTAATATTTTAATAACATAAGGAAAGTTTGCAGCAATTTATGTATTATTTAAAATGCAGAAACATTTCAAAATGAGGTAGAATACCGTCTAAAAAGGAATAATATGTGGAAACTAAATTTAAATGAATCTTGTAAGCATACATAGAGAGAAAATAGCATTGATTAAAGACCTAAGGTTACAAAGTGCTGTTATATTCATCAGCAATGAACTGAGATTATAAAAGTGTATAACTCTCCCTTGATTATAATGTCCTGATACAGAATTACTGCAAATTGATTGTTTTAAGAGAAAATAAATAAAATATTAAAAAATAGAGCATTAATAATGGGGAAAATTGTTACAAATTTAGTGTTTTTCATAAGCTAAGAGAAGAAGGAATCAGGGTATAACTTAAGCGTATAAGACATTTTATAAGCTAAGAGAAAGGAGGGATCAGTGTATAACTTAAGCCTATAAATATTTTAGTATTAGCTTGGGCACCAGTGGCGGAGCTAGGGTGGGGCAAAGGGGGGCATCCGTCCCCGGGCGCAGCATCCAGGGGGCGCCAAATTGATGATACACAGTTCAAAATGAAATGTTTCCATTCTTGGAATACATAAAGGGGCGCAAAATCTTTAGGTGTCCTCGGGCGCTGAAAATCTTAGCTACGCCTCTGTTGGGCACAGTCTAATAAGAGATGAAACAAGCTGAAATTAAATTAAATTTAATTTCTTATACTCAGGTAGAGGAAAAATATGATATTTTAAAACCAGACAGCTCAGCAATGATTTGAAATTCTGTAAGCATATACTTTTGAATGTTCTGATACAAAAATTAATAACAATGGTCAACAATCTTTTTTTACTCAACATAAATCAGACGTTTAGGATATGAGGAGAATTAAAATAATGCTAAATTCTTTTTTTTTTTTTTTTTTTTTTTTTTTCTCTCGTCAAACTAGAAGATAGACAGAGAATAAATGTTTCATTTACAGCTGCAGACATTTCAGTTTGAGAATAAAAACAGGCTAATAACGGATAAAATATGTAGAATTAAATTATTAACTTTAATAATTTTCAAGATTTGACAGAAACAAACTAGTTTATTTTTAATAACTCAAGGATAAAATTAAATATTAAAGGTAATCGCTATACTGAACTTATATCAATTTAGTAACAATTAAAGTATGCTAATTTAAAAAAGCTGCCATATGACTGATTTTAAACACCACAAGTAAAAGTTTTTAATTTAAAGTCAGTCTTATAATAATGAAAAATTCTTTAGATTTAGAGCAAGTTAAAAGTTAGATGAAGCTACAAATGAATCACACACATACCAAGACAAGGCTAGATGTATTAAAGGCTAAGGTTATCACTGTTTTGCTCTTCAACAAGAAATTAAAATTGTAAAAATGCAGAATTTACAAAGGAAAAATATCCTCATTCAAAACTACTGATATTCAACTCTTTCTAAACAATCTAAATAAATTATATAAGAAATAAAGAGACTTTTAATGATAGGAATTGCTTCAGATTTAATCCTTTTAACAAGCTAACGAAATAATTATAATATTTATGATTTACTGAAGTATTTAATATAGTTCAAAATTTATTGAAGGGAGTGTGATAAGTGATTAAATATTTTGAAACTAAATTTGTTCTCTTACAGAGAGATGTTGTAAGCCAGTATCCTAAGGTAATAAAGAAGTTTTAACTGTCTCTGTAATTTGAATTTATAAAAATATATTCATTTAGCAAGGAACAATGTATCCTCATAGATTATTTCTGGTATATGGCTGCTTTGAAATAGCATTAATAAAGTATTTAGAAACTACATACTTATGTTATAAAATTAAATTAATATTAAAATGACTTGCTTAAATGTCTGAAACAATTCTAGCTTAAGTGGAGTTTATCTTCAAATAAATAGTTATGGATTATTGAGCCATTATGCAACAAGCATTTACTTTTCTTTGTACCATTGCATTTTTATTGGTTATCCTTATGATCGGTAATTTAATTAGACCAGGACCTTCAATTTATTGTATTGAAGATGAAGAGAATACCTGTCACTGACTAAAGTCTTTCAGTAAATCTAATAAGAGATAAAAATACGTTAAAAATACAATTAAATTTAATCTCTTCTTTAAATATTACGATATATGTTAGTTCCTAAGGCAATAAAAATGTCTTTGGAGGATAAACTGTAAGGTATTTTCTCCCTCCTTCCAGCATGCCTTCATGGTGTAATTGGTAGCACACTCCGTGCGTATTTGAGATGTCCAGGTTCGAGTCCCGGCAAGGACATTACTCATTTTTCATGTGTCCTACTTCAGAAAAAACCTAATAATTCTACAAAGCAATAAACTGAAATTATAAAAGTGTAGACCTTTACCAAGGATTTTGTATTTTCATACAAAACTGTTGACAGTTAACGGCTTTTCAGCAGTACCACTATAATATCTAGGAAACAGAGAATGTTATAATAATGAAATGTTTTAAATTTTATGCTCTAAACTAAGGATGCAATATAACAAAGGGCTAATTTTAAAGCTAATGATGTTTCAAATTTAAGTTGAATACAGTCCAATATGACAGGTAATGCTGAATTAAAATAGTATTAATGCCTTATTAATGTTTACACAGAAACATATGTATATTGCACGATCTAAGGTAATAAATATGTGTTTTAGGAGACAGAGATATATTGAATTTTTAAACTGTTAATATGTTAAGTTCTCATTCAGGCTTTCTGCCAGCTGACTTCTTTTATGTAATATAAGTAAAGTTTCCAGCTAGTAGGAGGGTTTTAAAGATGAAATTAGCTTCAAATTTAATATATTTTACAAGCTAAGGGAGGGACAAAGGCTAAAGACAGTCTAATAACACACAAGATACGTTAAATTAAATATCTCATTTTCACAGAAACTAATATATTTAATGACTTATGCATAATTCACTTGAAAGAAATTGGATTTCCTAATGTAGATTGATCACAGTCTAACAAGAAATAAAACATTTTGAAATTAGATTAAATATAATCTCTTAAACTGTTATAGATACAAAATTTTAAGTGTTAAAATACCATAGGTGATATAATGGTGAGCAGTATATTGAAATCTACAAAAGTGTGTACTTTCACTAAAAAAATATATGTTAATTCAAAATTATTGCCATTTGAAAACTTTTATTAAACAATGTAAATAGAATATTTGAAAAATAAAGAGACTGTTATTAATGAAAAGAACTTTAAATTTAATTTTTGTAATAAGTTAGGAGAGGAATGAAGTAATAAATGATTTGGATATAAAAGATAGATATACTTCAGATCAGGCTTTATATAATTAAATAAAAGATAAAAATATAAAGGTTTTATGTTATTTAAGTTATAAAAATGTAGACATTTACCAAGGAATAAAATATCCTTATTTAAAGTTACTGTGGATGGACACATTGCTTTTGAATAGCATAAATAAAGTATTTAATATGTACGAGTAATGAAGCTTGTCATAATGAAATGTACTTCAAATAACGGTTTTAATGAAATTAGGGTTATTTATGATTCTCTTAAGACGCTGATATGCTTCAAATTTAGATTGCACATTCTATCTCACATTTAGTTGTGTTCAAGTTAATTTTGAAGTATCCTTGCTGCTTAAGTGAATAATGCTGTAAAGCCCTGCAAACTTGATCTAATATGGACTAAGAGGATGGGTTTTGCAGAAGAAATGATCAGTTATTCACGACTCCTTGACATTTTATCAAACACTTAATTCCATGGCAATTTTATTAATAATTTTGTGTTTATCCAGCTTGTTAAGGCATCCAGCTTCATTCATATTTAATTTACTTCTTTTCTTCTTGTTTGACATTTTCATTTGTACAGCCAGCATAATGCGGCACTTGTAAACCTGAATATAAACCTAGAATGTGAACTTAAAGTGTAGCTTACAATAGCTACAGCTAACAACAGAAAGGAGAAATGCAAGTGGTAATTCAACAACTAGTTATCTGAACTTTCTTCAGCCATTTTGTTACTAATAGAAGGAATGTAATAGTTTGGAATTTTCATGAAAAAGAAAAAAAAAGCCCCTCATCAATTTACTATACAAGTTCCAAGAAATAGTGTCACAAAGGGAAAGAGACAAAAATTGTAAAATTAGGATCTTATAATAGTTTTGAACAGAACAGGAAAACTTGTGGACATTCATATGCATAAACATAATTGCAGTAATACAGTGCTTAAAGTATACTGTTTGCAACATATGGTCTATGCTAAAAATTCTTTACAGTCTAGCTTTTAATTAATCATCACATTATTTCATAGGAAATATACTGCTTGACCAATAAATTTTAGTGATTAAACAAGGGGCGGGGGATCATCAAATTATACGTAATGTCAAGTTTGTGAAGACTCTACTGTAAGTGGATTAATCCATCCTTTAGCTTAAAGATACATTGAATTTGAAATAAATTTCATTATTATAAGTAGTTGCAAATACTTTAGTATGTTATTTAAAAGTATTCATTTGGCAGTATTTTTAAATGGAGATAATTTATTTCTTGGTAGAATTCAGCATTGTGATAATTTTAATTTATTGCTAATTTCTGAAAATATTTTTTATCATCTAAGGTCTTTTAGCATATGATATTTTATCAATGCAAGTTTAAGAAATTAAATGTATTTTAATTATCTTACTTTCCAGTTCACTGTATTCAAATATTTAAACATCTCTGGCTTTTAAGATAATCATTAATGGTCAAACTTCTTACCAATTTGATTTAAAATACTTAATTTCACACCATATCATTATTAAGAGTGAATTAAAATCTTAAGTATTTCATTTGTATTGTCCGAAAGCAATTGGTTGACATTTACTTTAAACGAGAAGATTTTGTTCCTTGCTAAAATTATACAGTTTTATAATTTCAATTTATTGCTGATATCTAAAGAATTTTTATTACCTCTGGTCTTTCAACATGTCTTACAGTGTTCCTGTGTAAAAAGATTTAATATAATTTAATATCTGCACACATATTTCTACATGTATTATCTCATCTTAGAATGTGTTCAAACTAATTTTGAAAGATCTCTTGTTCACTGTCATTAAAAAAAAAAAAAATAATAATTCATTTATTTAGTTAGAGATGTTAAATATGAAAAGTGTTTCATTTCAAGAGTGTCTCTAGGCTCTGCATGTTTCATTTAATTTGTTTAAAACTACTCAGTTGGCAGTAAATTTAAATGAAAATATGTTGTATCTTGACAAAATCTACATTTTTAGAATTTTTGTTTATCTGCAACTTTTAATTATTGATTTCAATCTTTTAGAATATACCAGATTATCTCTATGGAAGCTTAACAGACTACATTAAATCTATTTTCAAACTGTCTCTGATTAGACTTTATAATCAGTAGTTTGGTAGTAATGTTAAATGAAGATATTTCCTGAAAATCCAATGAAAAACTAAATTATTATAATTACAATTACAGTCAACAGTCGTTAATTCGGTCACCCATAATTCGGAATGATCTATAATCCGGACCTCAAAGCTACAAACTTTCTGCGCATGCGTTGACGCATGCGCATAAGTGTTTACGCATGCGCGTAAGACCTTTACGGCTGCGCATATGCGTGTGCGCACGCGCATAATACGTTTACGCATGCGCTTTTAATGTATAACGGACGGTATAAGCTAAAATTATCTAATTATCTATTTCAGTTAATGTTGCAGATCGCGTTGTTCCTTAATCTTCTAATTGGATCCGGCTTATTATTTTTGCAGACTGTTAGAGCAATTTTATAAAAGTAAGCTTGAACTTTCGATTATGTCAAATAGAATTTCCGATGCGGGAGCTCCCAAAGGATCTACAAAGCGAAAGTATATTTCGATGTCCATCAAACAAAAAGTGGAATTGCTGCAAAAAATTGATAAAGGCATATCCTTTGTTTCTCTAACCATTCCGAAATCTGTTTATCAATTTCACGCTGCTCTGCGGCAGGGGGGGGACGCTGCGGCGCGCAATGAATTGGAAGTTGATCTGTCAGCACTATCCTTATCTTCAGGGCAGATGTTTTTATTTTATTTGGCTTATAATTCTTTACCAAATGTAGTATTTCATCTCGATGTACTCTGTCTTCGATATGATTTAAATCAAATTCCTCATCATCATAATTCGCTTCCGATAGTGAAGAAAGTGACACAGAGGTTATTGAAAACGAAAAAATTTCGATTGACAAATTAGTCGGTATTCTCGACACAGCAATTATAGGACTTGAACAGCGGAACTTTTTGTAACTGAAGAAGAAATTATGTCGGTTTATAGAATTAAAGAGAAAGTATTATCACATAAAACGAAGCAACTTAAACAACTTACATTGAAAGAAATGTTTAATAAAGTAAAACAAATAATAAGTTTTTTTTTTTTTTTTTTTTTTTTTTTTTGTAAATTTTAATACGCTTTAGATCATAATTGTTCTTTATTTCATAAATTACGGTTTCATATTTTTAATTTTATAATTTCTGCATAGCATCTTACCAGATTTAAGCTCATGATCTATAATCCGGAAAAATCGATAATCCGGAATCGCCGAAGTCCCGACAAGTCCGGATTAACGAGTTTTGACTGTGTTAAGAAACAATACTATTAACCCCTCTCTAAGCAATTCTTTTATTACCCTAGGTCTTATGTTTTGATTTAGGTTTCATTAGCGGCTTACAAATCTCCGTTAGCTAATTAAAAACATTAAATTTGAAGCATATTCCAGAAATGCAGTTCTTTGTAGGCCCTAAATACTTTATTTATGGTGTTGAAAAGCAGCGAATTTGCAGTATTCTTGAATAAGGATATTTCATTGCTTGGTAAAAGTCTGTATTGTTATAATTTCAGTCATGAATGATAATGAAGAGCTTTAGGTGTTATTACCTAAAATCCGTCATTATAATTTCTTTTAACAAATGTCATAATGTTAGCATATAAGTTTAAAAAAAAAGAATTGCTGTATAATTTACCACTTATGGAGCTTATTTCAAGATAATTTTCAAGTACCTCTGTTTAAGTAAATATTTAATGTCTCTCTGTAAAAAGATTCAAATTAATTTCTACATATTTTTTTAGTAATGAATCTTTAATTGTTCAAACCTTCTCTCAGGTAATAAAAACATTAAATTTGAAGAAATTTTCATTACTAAAATATCTTTGTCTTAAGTACCTTATTTATTTTAATAAAAAGCATTCGATTGCTAGTAATTTTGAATGAGGAAATTGTGACTGTAGGTAAAAATGTAATTATTTCATTTTAATGGAGGTACCTAAAATTTTTATTTCCGTTCTCGCTGTATTATATACCGCATTAACCACGGCAATTTAGCTGTACGTTTTATTTAGTATTTAAACGGTGTGATTACTATGTAGTATGTATACTGTTTGTACTATAAATATTTTCTATAATAATAAATTCCTCCCTCTCACTCTGCTAATAAATTTTTCTAAATACCCACCCTACCAAATTTTAGAACAGAATTGCAGCCGGGGGGGGGAATGTCGGAATCATATTTTGAAATAAATACGGTTTTGTATTATGTTTATGTAAGTGTAAAGGATTTCATTTAGTTTATTTCTTTACGCTTTAATTATCAGAGATAGATATATGAGATGTGAAGAGCATCCTGCTTTAATAGTGAAAAAGCAGGATTTCGAGATTCCCAGCTCTGGATCCATCATACGCAACCAGTTTCCTCAAATTCCAAAATTCAAAATTATTCCAGGTCTACCAGCTCAAAATTATTCCAGGTCAAGAATTCAGAAGCTAATCTGTGGCATGTAAATAGCACAGCATATTAAGCAAGTGTCCGGCCAATGAAAAAGAAAAATTCTGTTCAATTTCTCTAAAATTTAAGAACGTTCTTTTTCGCATGTCATGGAAAATGTTGAATTTTAAAATAATCCTACAGTTTGTAATGCCACTCTGAGTACGTCTAGAAATGTTTCTCTGTTGTTTAGAATATGTTGTTTCAGTTTCTCACCACCAGATGGCAGCTTGAATTGCGTTTAAATGTTTATGTGTTTCTGTTTGGCAATAACATTAGGAGCTACCTTCAACCGAGTAGTTCTTTCGTCAGTGTTCGTTTGGTCACCGTCGAGGGAGTAGTACTTTTTCGGTTGAGTTTTGTTCTCGCGTGCTCTAATCGTGTTCTTGTTTAGTTCGCCGGAACATAGTTGTCAGTTCTTTTAAAGAATAAAGAGCTGGTCTTCGGCTTGAATCCTTTCATTAAACATTGAATCTTTTATATTGGTGAGCATGTTTCATCATTTTTTGTAACATTATTATTCTATTATTTATTGAAATTAGTTATTTGGTATTCATGTATTGCATGAGATTACATTCGATTTGTTTGGAAAGTGTTAAACATATAAAGCTTTTTTTTTTTTTTTAGGTATATTGTTGATAATTATTGATTTCAAAATATGCTATATTTTAGATTATTAATTTCATAATATGCTATATATAATATATTTCTAGGTTCATATACAGTTTGTGGACCTGCTGACTTTTCGGATGTAATTATCCTCCTCCGATGTCTAGGATGAGCGTTCCTAAGTCTCATTGCCCCCATATTTCTACTATTGGAAATATTACGAAGTACGATGTTATCGCTAAACAAAATGTAAGTCCATTTTCTCTATAATATTTTTGCAAAATTAGAGGTTTCTGTTTCATATACCTGTTCTTTGGAAAGTCAAATTGCTAAAAGCTATAAAATTTTTTATGTGTTATAAATTTATTTCAGGTGGAGGGAAAACATTTGTAAATTTTGCTGCCTTGGTGTAACTATTTTAGTTGTGTATATGTATGCATGCACATTAGATTTAAAATGCACTTTTTTGTTATCCAATTTTACCGCGTTCTGTTTCAAAACAACTTTAATTCTTTTCCACGAAATTTGAAATTTTGCTCCACTACAAATGCTTAAATTTATCAAAATAAAATACCCTAAATAAGGTTAAGGTTAGGAAGATAGTAATGCTAGTAGCGGTGTAAGTATATGTATAGTAAAATAGCGGGTGTGGTGTTCTTGAAAAGTTATTGGTGATTCTTCCTTCAGCTGGCAATTACATTTGATTTCTAATATGATTGAATCTAAGATCAGGAATAATATTTATTTCTATATCTTATTCTGATTTCGTCATCCTGAATCATCTTAATTTTTAATGAATGTATTGTAAACTGAAGTATAAAGACTGAAAAATTAGGGAGATCCTTATGTAATTCATTCTGTCACATTTATTGCCATGGGTTGTGTACCAAAAAAATAACTCTCTAGGAAGTATGATGAGAAATATTTTAAAGCTTTTATTCGTATGAAAGATACCATATATTCCAGTGTATAACACACTTTTAATACACAAAATAAGATCGAAATTTATGGATGCATTTTATGTACCAGATATAAAAATGATAGAAATAATAAAGCAAAAAATTAGATTTTTTGTGTATTAAAATGCCGTTTATTAAAAAGAAATTACTTACCTCGTAAACTTAATTATCGGATAACATGAAAAGTTCATCACATTCGTCTTCCATTATATCTTCAGGCACATCATCAGCTTCTTTTATATCTTCAACATCATTGTTACTCTGATCCATAAATGAACAATTATCATCTATTTCAACAAACATCCTTGCTCCAGCACGATTTCCATTTTCTTTCGCAAACTGAATGACTTTGCATTTGAAACCAGCACTCTATTTTATTTGACAGGAACTATATTTACTGCTGAAAGGAACACTAGATCAACTGTATTGCAACTAAATCAATTGCGATTTACTAAAACCTTCCATATTCTCTTCAAAATCATGGCTTCCAAACGGCTACAGAAAGCAATCTGACTCCTAATTCTATGAATTCTTTTAAAGTCTGGATGGTATTCTTATCACAAATTCTATCCCCTTTTCTTGAAACCCTAGAATAACATTCTTGTGCACATCTGCATTGACTACTATTGCCTGTGTAAATATACTTACTCTCTCAAGCATTCCACCCTACACATGTATTGCTTGCTTTATCATTGTCAGCCCAAATCGCTTTATCATTGTTCAAGCGCCTGGGAAAAATCTTTGAATGAATGACTTCAAAAGATGAGTGCATCGCACATGTGTCTTTTAGGTTTCTTTGTAAAGAGAAGGCTGTGTGTTATATGGGGAATATACCTAAAAATTAATAAATTTAGTTTGAATTTATAGGTGCACATTATACCCCGGAATATGCGGTATTTATATTCATGCTTGTTTATTGTATTTGCAGCTAAACTGAAGTGTAAGAGACATGCTAGATCTGACAATTTTGTTGTTAGTTAATAATTTTAATCCAGTAGTTGTACTTATTAGTGTGCAGTGCTGAGTTTTTGCCATTCTGTGTTTTTTAAGCAAAAACAGATTGCAGTATTACATGGGTAGAAAAACAGTGATATGTAATATAATACGTATGTTTAATGTGTGCTATGCCGAGGCTGTGCATGATGTTAAAAGCTTGTGCAGTTCCCTGATGTTTTTAAAGCGAAAAGAGAGTGCTTTATACTTGGAACGAACAAAAGGTATATCATAATAGAGTATGTTTAATATATCATATAATCCTTATTTAATAATCTGAAAACTTTTTTGAAAAAGGTCTCCAAACTATTGCTGTTTATTATAATTCAGCAAACGATATTAAAAGATAACATAATTTAGCAATTTAAAATACAAATTAATAAGGATTATATATCACATTAAATAATAATAATGAAATACTACATTTAGTAAGGAATTATAAGCCAAATAAAATAAAAACATCTGCTCTGAAGATAAGGGTAGTGCTGATATTAAAAGATAACATAATTTAGCAATTTAAAATACAAATTAATAAGGATTATATATCACATTAAATATTATAGGATACATTGGGTTGTTCCTTCCCTCATATATACTGTAATTTGTTTTTGCTTAAAAAAAATAACAGAATTCCACAAACTTGACAATAATTTAAAACAAAATTTATAAATTTTAATAAACAAATAATGATAATTCTGTCACCTGAGACTTCTTGAAAAGACGAAAGGATTATCAACGTTTGTTTAAAATTATGTTAATTTATATATATGCAATATGTATAAATAGAAAGTAACTAACAAAATACTAGTAGTTATTTTTGGAGTAATCATCAACCATTAGAGTTTTGCATGCAAACCTGTGTTCATATTTCTTCATTTTTTTGCTGCACCTAATTCACCATTTTCTTGAATCATATATTGATATGCAAATAAGGTGAACATATTAGATGAAAGTATAAGTATTCTCATTTAAATGGACCTAAGCAAAAAGTTACTTTCAAAATTAAATATTCAAGAGAGAAATAACATTTTCTTCCCTTATAAAAAAAGGTTCTTGATAAAAATGACTTTGCAAAAATACCATATAATTCAAGGCAACTACAGTGATGGATGAAATTATTTGAAGCTCATTTAAGCTCTAGTGTTAATAAGTTAAATAAAAATAAATGTTGGGAAACGCAGCACTTCAATTAACTTAAGAGGTGAAAAAAATCCAACGAAATGTTTATTAGAAGCAGAGCTGTGCAAATTATGGTAAAAGAAAAAGTAGCTGAACAGCCCATAGTAAAATTTGATTGGTTAAATGTGAAATGCAAGAAAGGCAATATGTACATTTATTTTAAGAAACTTTGTCAGTTAAAATTTGGCTTTTTTTCTCGCTTATCTGACATAAATGGGCAGGCAGATGGGTAAAAGTATATTTACAGGTACCCTTTGGCGATATATTGATACCGAGTTTGTGCAATTCTTTTACTTGTTATTTTGGCTTGTGTAGCGGCTTGATCTCCAATAATGTGCGAGCATGTTTTGTGTAAAATGCATGCAACTCAAAAGAAATTCGTAAACTCAGTTTTGTGTTAATTGAGTTTTTTGCAGTCAAAAGTCGTTAATCCGGACTCGTCGTGACTTCGGCGATTCCGGATTATAGATCATCACTTTAAATCTGGTAAGATGGATGATGGCATGCAGAAATTATAAAATTAAATTATGAAACCATAATTTAAAAAATAAAGAACAATTATGATCTAAAGGGTATCAAAATTTACAAAAAAAAAAAAAAAAAAAAGAGCTTAATATTTATTTGTTTACCTTATTAAACATTTCTTTCAATGTAAGTTGTTTAAGTTGCTTCGTTTTATGTGATAATACTTTCTCTTTAATTCTATAAACAGACATAATTTCGTCTTCAGTTACAAAGTTCCGCTGTTCAAGTCCTATAATTGCTGTGTCGAGAATACAGACTAATTTGTCAATCGAAATTTTTTCATTTTCAATAACCTCTGTGTCACTTTCTTCACTATCGGAAGCGAAATATAATGACGAGGAATTTGATTTAAATCATATCAAAGACAGAGTACATCGAGATGAAATACTACATTTAGTAAGGAATTATAAGCCAAATAAAATAAAAACATCTGCTCTGAAGATAAGGGTAGTGCTGACAGATCAACTTCCAATTCATTGCGCATCGCGGCGTTTCCCTTCCCCCGCTGCAGAGCAGCATGAAATTGATAAACATATTTCGAAATGGTTAGATATCAAAGGATATGCCTTTATCCATTTTTTGCAGCAATTCCACTTTCTGTTTAATGGACTTCGAAACATACTTTTTGCTTTGTAGATCCTTTACATATTAGTAAATATATATCGGAAATTCTATTTGACATAATCGAAAGTTCAAGCTTACTTTTATAAAATTGCTCTAACAGTCTGCAAAAAATAATAAACCGGATCCAATTCAAAGATTAAGAAATAACGCAATCTGCAACATTAATTTTAGCTTAGCTTGTACCGTCCGTTATACATTAAACGTCCATGTGTAAAAGTATTACGTGCATGCATAAACACCTATGCGCATGCGTGAACGCACATGCGCAGAAAGTTTGTAGCTTTGAGGTCAGGATTATGGGTGTCCGGATTAACGACTTTTGACTGTAATCAAACGCATGCCTGGTGTTCTTACCAGGCATGTGTTTGATTTTTAAATTGAATTTTTGAAATTTTAATGCTCATCTTATCGATTATGGTGATAAATTTTTGCAGATATAATTGTCCCACGGTGGTGTGATCTGAATACACAATTATCTGTGCCTTACCAAAATAGACTCTAAATTTCTGCACCGTTAAAATTACAGCCAATATTTTTCTCTGCATATCCATATAGTTATGCTGTGTTTGATTTAGTAGTTTTAAAAACTGGGCCACGGGCTGGTGATTCTGGGGCTTGGATTAGCGAAATTTTCAATTTCTCATATGTGGCGTTAGCCTCAGTTGTCCATGAAAACCTGCATTTTTTTGTTTCTGTCTCTTCAGTTGTAAGAGCGGCTCGCCTATCTGTGCGAAATCTTTTATAACAGATCTGTAGTAAGAACACATGCCTAAGAATGAGGCTACTTTTTTTTTGCTGTTTTAGGCACATCCTCCGTTTTCACCACTATCTGAAAATACCCTGAAGTGAGATCTATCATGCTCGTATATTTAATTCATTTAATGTTACGTAGGTATGATAGGTAGTGATAAAGCAGATACTTAATTAAACTGTTTCATTTCCTTGTGATCAATAACCAGTCTGCGTGCT